CAACACAGTTCAAAGGCACTGATTCTCCTCCTGTCACCCTTATTCACTGTCTGGCTTTCAGATGCATAGCAATGACTGAAAAGATTATGGCCTGAGTCTGCTGCACTTTAGTCCTCAGATTAACATTAATTACTGCTCCTCAGTAATTTGGAGAGGTCCCTGACTAAAGACTTTCCCAATGTAATATGTCTCCTGATCTCCTAACTGCTGGTGCCAAGTGTGTTGATTGTGAATCCAACAAGACAAAATTGCTGACAATTTCAATCTTTTTCCACCAATCATGATGTTATCAGTGCAGTGGTGAGAAATTTTGTTTTCTTGATGTTGAGATGTAATCAAATTGAAGGCTGTAATCTTTGATCTTTTGCACACGCACTTCAAGTCCTTCTGAGTTTCAGCAAGTATGTTTACATCATCTGCATAATGCAGGCTGTTGATGAGTCTTCCAGTGCTGAAATAACAAACATTTGATAAGCATTCAATTTGAAAGGGGGGTAGTAATTTGTTATGGAGCAATAGATAATTGAGAGGGAAGAAGCAGTTTGAGGATAAACAAATATATTTCAGTGTCAAATGTTCCCCCTAACCTACACTCAAGGTCTGATTTTATCATAGCTCCACTCACAAAGCCTGTGTTCCTGAAAAGCTCCACTTTACCAAGAAATTTTATTATTATGGTGGGAGAGGGGCTGGAAATCAGCTTGTTGTTGTTAGGTGCTGTAGAGTTGAGTACGACTCACTGACACTATGATCAAAACCTGCACCATGCTCACACTTCCTGACACACAAGAGCTTACTGCAGCAGTCACCATGTCAATCCACCTGGTTGAGGATCTTCCTTTCCTTCCTCAAATCTCCACCCTTCCCAGCATCATGTCCTTCTCTAAGGAATAGTCCCTCCTAGCAACATGTCCAAAGTATTTGTGTTGAAGCCTCATCATTCTTGCCTCCAAAGAGCACTCCAGCTGCACCCTCTCCAAGACTTAGCTGTTTGTTCTTCTGGCCATCCATGGGATGTGCTCTTCTCCAACACCACAGCTCAAAGGCATCTATTATTCTTCTGTCATTAATTTTCTAGCTCCCAGATGCATGCATAGCAAGTAATCAGAAAGACTACGGCCTGAATCAGACAGTATGTTATTTGATATAGCAAATTAATGCAGAAGTTATTTGAAAGAACCTTCTCATGCTTTACAGATGACATTTGTTTATATTTTGCTTTATCTTTTCATTTCTCATGCTCTTCAGCATTTCATGTACAACTTCCTAGTGAAATCTCATCAAGTGAAATCTAAAGGAACAAAACCTTAAATCTTTCATAACTAAATGGTGTTCCCAATTTGGCACACTAATTTTGAACTATACATTTTGAAAAGATAAGCCTGATGTATTTTTTTAATATATATTTTATTATTTTCGTGTGTGTGTACCGTCAAATCAGATCTGACTGGTACAGGAGGAGATTGTCCCTCCCTCCCCGGCAGAGCATCTGGTGGATTCTAACCTTGCGCCTCTGGGATTGTAGTTGCAGCTCCTTGCCACTAGGCCACCAGAGCTCCCAAAGCCTGATGTATTTTATGTTTTTAAGGATCAGCACTTCCTGCTGCTAAATTTCAGGCATTCTATGTGATTGCTGACCTCTAACATCTGGAAATGTCTGGCTTGGGTTCAAATAAAAAGTTGTATGTTTTTTTTAATGCTTACATCTTTCTTGGATCACTTTCCACTGCAGAAATGAAATTCCTCACAGGTTGCATCACACTCAGCTCAGCTCCTTCTCCAAGTCAGCTATTTTAACTAGGCAAAATTTAGCAGATATTATTCACATTTTATAGACTTTTCTGCTAGTTTGAATAATATTTTCTTCAATTCTGATACTTTCATTACCTGAATTATTAAGACTCCATTGCGTGACATTTTCAAAGTCTTGGTTTTGGCTTGTTTCCTTTAGGAATGAAGGATAATGGTCATCTCATTTTCATGTTAGAACCGAGTACTGTTTGATCTCTGACCTTGATTTCTGATTTCTATGTTTATGTTCTCTTTGAAGGCTATTTCATTATTTTCATAGAGTGTAGAATCATATTACCAAAGCTTCCTTGAATTCTCTCACAATCAGCCTTGTTTTGTTTGTCTCTACTTCAGCCTTTCGCACTGACAAGTTTCTAACCGTGGCAAAGATTTTCACAGACAATTGTTAGAATGGTACATTTAAAAAAAAGGAGAGAGATTTCTTAGACTTCCAGTTAACCCAGAGGCATGCAAGTTTCCGTCAAATATTTACTAGCAGATGTTCCTCCAATGCACAGGTTATTTCCACATTTGTTATGTTTTCACAGCAAATATATATATATATCAATGTATGTGCATGTATTAATTTCAAATACCAATTGAAGCAACTTTTTGGAACAGAATAACTTTTTGGAATTAAAATAGATTCCAGATTTTTACATATAACTTCACCCACTGTTTTAAAAGATTTCATTCTGCCAGCAACCTGGAGTGTTTGCCACTCAACCTGGAAGAGGATGTGCTTCAAGTAATATATCCAGGATGTTTTCATTTCAAAAAATGGAAAAGCTTAAATAAGTATCAAAAACTTTTGAATCATTTTGTAGGGACTGAGAAAAGGATAATTCCCTCTCATCCAAATGTGGGGAGTTTTTTATGTGTTTAATTAATTCATTCTATCTTTCGTTAAAAACATGGATTTTTCAAGTTATTTAGCAGATAAGGTATTAGAACTAGATTAATATTGTTGTGTGGTATCATCTGTGATCTTTTTTACCTGGCACCACTGGTAAGAGTAGAAAACGAACATGGAGAATCACAATGAATATATGGATAGATTAATAATGAAATGTTACCAACTAGATCCTTCAATTGATATGCACATATACAAGAAATACAGATTGCCTTAACCTCTTAGCAGAATATGAACTCTGAATAATCTAAAAATTAGAACATTACTAACAATTTTTAAAACATAGTTCTCTACCTTGACCACAATATCCATATATACGTAACTGTAAGTTTTTATTCTTTGTCACTTCTAGTTAAAAACAAGGCAGTCAGCATCTTATTTTAGTCTCTCGCACTTGCTAGAGTAGGCTATAACTTAGCAGCAGGACAAACTGATTAAATTCAGGAAGTTGGACAATTGTTGCTTAGCAACTATCTTTAAATTCATGAGCTAAATTCCTAGTGAGTGAGTGTTATAGCACTGCACAGATAACGTATAATCTGGCTACTAGGTCTGGAAGAGATTAAACTCTTCTCTCCCAGTGGAGGCAGGAACTTCCCCTGAAGAGGGAGATTATTCACTATTCCTTTTCCCCTCAGTGTGGCACCAGGAGAGAGAGATGGCTCTCACAATGGAAGCCAGAAGGGAGGCTGGAGATCCTGGGATTTGACTTGAAAATACAGCAAACTAAGGAGGAGACCAGTTCTCATGAGGCCAGGAGGGCAGTGGGAGAAAAAAAAAAAACACCCACCAAGCAAAGTACCTGAAGAATGGTAGCAATCCTTGAATCCACCTATATGCATATAGTCTGGCATGCTGTCTCCCAGGATTTGTCCACGGGCCCTTGAGCTTTTTCCTTTTGTACAATCCCTGCAAGATGTGGACCTAACTCGAGATGCCAAACACCTTCTTCAAGCCTTGACTACCATAATGGCTACCTTGATCCCTGATCACTCTCCTGAGCCCCATTCCACATTGGCCATTTCCCCTTGAAGCACCATAAGCACCTCAAACTCCCTAGGATCCAATCTAAAATCCCTTTATGTACCAGATCACCTCCTCTCTGTTCTTTATGTCAGTGAATAACATTAACATCTACCCAGCTCATGACAAGAACCTTGGATACCATCCTAATTCCTTCGCCATTAACTAAAACTCACTACCAATCATGGAGCCATATCATTTCATATCATACATCCATAAATGGGACCTATCATTCGAATTGGCCAATTCCATCATTATCTACATGGCCATAGTTTTGAAATACTCCATCTCTAGAAGAATCCTGATTAAAGGGGTGGGGAAGGCAGAACAGAAGTTCTAACTCTCATGGAGTTTCTGGAATGGAGGCTGCATAAACCTCCAAAACTATTGCCTCAAAATAATCTTTAAACTTGAAACCAAAAAATGTCCCCTGAAGTCTTTTCAAAATCAAAGGTTTGCCTTTAGCCGTGTACTCACTTGAGATGTATCTATACTGGCTCTGAGAAGAGTAACTCACATAATTATACAGAAATTCACAGGGCAGTGAGTTTACGCTAATGGAAAAGAAACAGCATAGAAAAGGAAGGTGAACCAAAGAAAGAATTGTTCTTTTACTTTTCAAAGAGAGATGCGAACTGCGGGGGGGGGGGGGGGGCTGGGCAGGGAGAAAAGTGTAACAATGAATGAATGAAAATCCAAAATTTCTGTAAATGTTCATTAAAATTCATAAAATAAAATTTAAAAAAATGTGTCTAGGTGATAGAGAAACCTTTTTCCTTTTACCAGATTCCTATACTTTTTTCTGAATTTTCCTTAATAAATTTACTTTCATGGTTATAAAAAAAAAGGAAAAGGAAGGTGAGAATGATAGCACAGCCTATGGAATATAACAGTGTCACTGAATTGAATTGGTATATATTCTGTTGTATGTACTTTCAACTTACACAACAAAATCATTCACTTAAAAAGCAGACTTTACAGGCAGCATGTTTATGTTAAGGGGAGAGAAACAACTCAGAAAACGAGGAGAACGGCCTGCACAACCTGAAGAATGTAACCAAGACCACCGAATTATACCTGTAGAAAATGGTTAACTGGTTTACATTAAGCTCTATATATTTTCAACCACAATAGGATAAAAATAAATCATATAAATTAAAAGAACAAGAAAGAAGCGTGTGTGTGTGTGTGTGTGTGTGTGTGTGTGTGTGTATAAAACCCACACAAACAAACAAGAAAAACAAAAACCACCAACATAAATTCCCTGCCTTACCTGGCTCAGCAAACGGTAGGCATTCCCCAAGTGCATCATAGCTCAGTGTCTGTGGCCCTGCCTGTGGGCTCCATGTCTGTGCCACTGCGGCCTCCTGGGAAGGGCCTGGGATGTGGAAATCTGGTGCCTCCAGCTGGATATTGGACGGGATGTGTGTGGTTCCCATGGGTGCCAGTTCTTCCAAGAACATTTCCTGCCTACCCACCTGGGGGAAATGATGGAACCCATCACTCTAACACCTAGAACATCGCTGCCCACTGGAAACATAATGCAAGGCACACGTGTTAAGTTTATACTTTCAAGTGGAACTGTAACACCAACAGGAAGAAACAGGGGAGGTCAGTCTTAATGGGATGTTTTACTTAACCTGGTATATTCATAATGTCATGGCTTCAAGGTGGAATGGGTATACATTACCAATGAAGCATCTTACACACTGCTTTCATTTTAAGTCTGGGTTCTGCTAGACTTACACTCATCAGTGTGAACTGACCATATTCCAGGAATTCAACAACCACAAGTGGCTGATGTACTGCACAGCACAAGTCCATACCACACAAAGCTAAAATCTTAATTAATAAGCAAACGCAGAAGAAGAAAAAGGGGGAGAGAGAAATCACAATGTCCTTCGACCTCAGTCAGAAGAACCCTTGGAAGACCCCTCTGTTTGGGCAGAAGCCCTTCCCTGAAGCTCAGTTACTGAAGAGCCCTGAGGCACACCTGAAAGCCTAGTATGCTTCTTCCAAAGTCCCTGGTCTGGACTCAGCCAGGTCCCCCTTCCATGTGGAGCTTCCACAGAGGGGCTCTCAACAGAGGACAGAGACACCCCACCCCTTTGGATGTGACCCTCTGGAGAAAATGGTAGGTGGAAGCTATGGGATCTAATGGACTGGAAATGGCAATAATAATCACAGTGCAAAATTGTTCCACCTCCCAAACATCTATGGACTTTCCCCTCAAACATCCACACAGACAAAAAAGTACCTCATCCTGTTGGACATGTTGTTGTTTGTTGTTATGTGCCGTCGAGTCGCTTGCGACTCATAGCGACCCTATGTACAACAGCCCTAAACCCTGCTCCGTCCTGTGCCAATCTCATTGTCTCTGACACACCCATCCCGATTATCCCAGTCACTGAATCAATCCACCTCATAGAGGGTCTTCCCCTCCTGCGCTGTCCCTCCACTCTGCCCAGCATGATGTCCTTCTCTAAAGACCTGTCTCTCCTTACAACATGTCCAAAGTATATCAGGCGAAGCCCCAGAATCCTTGCCTCCAAGGAGCAGCCTGGTTTAACCCTCTCTAGGATGAATCTATCTTACTATACTTTGAGCATAGCCTGGATTTTCTAAGAATGCACTCTTGTGAAAAGCCAAGGCTGTATGAGGCTTTTGCTCAGAATTTCATCAAGAATTGTTTGGAAAATTGCACGAGTAGCAGCCATAGTGCTGGAGGGCTGTCAACCAGCCTCAAGTTCTGGCTGTCTCGTTCACAGTCATCCTGTTCAAAGGGGAAAGTCACCTGACAACTTCACAGAAAAGCCCCAAAATATAGATATTGAAACATACATAGTTGGGAGGAGGAGGGCTGCTATCAAGTCAATGAAGACCCAATGTGACATCATTAGTGTATCATAAGCTCATCTCATTTTACTACGTGGCTTTAGATTCCAGCTAGGTTCTGCTTGGCTCAGGAGATGTCAGCTTTTCTTTTTACCCCACTCTCCCCACCCCCAACCCCTGTAATGGACCAGGCTGGAAATACTTTATTACTTTAAAAAGGTAAAAGCCATTACTAGGTCATGGCTGTAATAAAAAAAACAAATTTTAAAAAATGGATCACAGGTTGGATTAGGTTCCCAAGCCACTGAATATTAAAAGGGGGTGATTTTTTAAAATTTGATGTTTGCACATAGATTGCATTTTCTCTGACTTTCATGTCAGGATAGTTAAGGGACCAAGTAATTGTTATAGATTGAGTGTTGAGAATCACTTCTATGATGAGTTCAGCAGGGGAAAAAAAGTGAAATGGACTTTGGGCTGAAGAAAGCCCAATTGAGCTAGTCCCAGATGCCTCTGCTAATTCTTTCCGGCTAATGACGGAGATTCTTCTTGTCTCACCTGCTGCTCTGGTATCTCAAGCTCCCTCTGTAGGTCTTCTATCAGTGCCACAACTCTTTCTCTATTCTCAGGGCAGTGTTCCCTCACCCAGGTCTCTATCTCAGTGGGCAGAATAGTCAGGAATTGCTCCAACACCAGCAGCTCCAGGATTTGTTCTTTAGAGCGCATCTTTGGTTTCAACCACTGACAGCAAAGCTCCCAGAGTTTGTTGAAAGCTTCATGAGGCCCGGCCGCTTCTCGGTATTGGAACTGCCTGAACCGCTGACGGAAGACTTCACAGTCTGTATCATACTCTTCAAGCATGAAGCCCTGATTCAAGGAGGCCTGGATTGCACAGCCCAGAGCCACAGCCATTGCTCTCTTCCAGCAGCTTAGAGTTTATCTGGGACCTGAAGTCTGAGGTTCCAATCTGTTTCTCTAGCAGTCAGGTGTCACCTACAGCCAAGGGAAGGAGAAACAGAAGCAAGCAGAAACAGCAGTGGTTACATGAGGGTATATTTACTCCCTTATTTTTTTGCTGTAACTCTCAGTGATTTAATTAATTCTCTTTTCTCATTCACAGCACAGACCCAGTAACTGTTCTGTAGTCACCATTCCACAGGGTGACTTGGGAAGGCTGGATCTCTTTTGAAATGATACCCTTTTCTGGGATTCTCTATCCTTTACCTCACCAACGCCCTAAAAAGCAGCAGCTCTTGATCTTTTCTGGTGGATCTGAGAACATCTTTGCTATGGACTCATTTCCTGCAAAAAAAAATGTACAAACACATATCCACTTCTACCCACCATCATCCAGTTTCAAAAGGTTCTATCCTGTCCTTCCAAGGACAGAACTGTGCTGTCCAATGCACCTGGCACTAGCTCCACCTAAGTTTAAATGAATTGGTGTTGTTGCTGAGTACTGTTGAGCCAAAACTGACTCATAGCTGACCCTCCAATGTGTTTTCAGAGGCAGTAAATTGCACAGAAGACTGCCCATCTTCTGCAGTTGGTGGACGTGAACCGCATACCTTTGGGTTGGCGAGAATCCTTTTTTACCACTAGGCCACCAGTGTTCCCTTTAAATGAATTAAGCATAAAAATGTGTTTCCTCACGCGCAATGCTCCACAGTCACCGCTGCAGGGTTTCCTTTTGGACAGCTCTACTTTAGAATCCCATGGAGGTCAGATTATCTCCCCTAAAGGAACCACTCTCCATTTATTGGCCTTGAACGTCACACTCCCAATCTAAGTCTCAACTGGACTGTTTTTCTGACTATGTGTAGCTCTCAAAGGATGCAGAGATGGAACACTAACAATATTTTTAAATAATCAGAGAAGTCTACCTTGCTGTATCACTTTAGTCAAAGGCCCACAGACAAAGCGAAACTCTGAAAGAATGGTAAATATTTAATCTCTCATTTATTTCTTCTCTAAACATGCATTCATATATCATTTCCCTCTCCTTGCAATTACGTGTAAGCTACTTTCCTACAGGTTAAGTGCACCGATGTAGAACATGCCATTAATCATTTGTTCTGAAAATATTTACTGAGTTCATACTCTGTCCCAGGTACTGTTCTGTATCTTCTTCATATATAAGTTCATTTAATCACTGCTCAGTATTAGGAAGTGGGGACTAGGTATTGTTTTCCAAATACAGATGAAAGAAGGGAAATTGAAGACTTCAGAGTAGTATTAACTTGTCCAAGATCACCGCAGAGTCTAAGAGAGCTGGTAGTCTAGTGGGCAAGGAAGGAGGTAGAATTTTAACCCAAAGGTGGCACTTCTCTGGCAGTTCAAATCCACCAATGGCTCCATGGGAGAAAAATGGGCAATCTTTCCCCGTGTAATTTACAGCCTCTGGCAACCTACTGGAAGGTCAGCTATGAGTCAGCCCTAAGTGAATGGCAATAAATAATGAGTAATAAAAGTCCACACTGTAAATGTCTGAGAGAAATCAGAACAAAGTTAAGAGTTAAGAGTTTATAGTTGTCCACAGTCCTGAAAACACAGTCTGAAAACACCACAATGTTTTCAGGAGAATACGAGGTGACAAAAGGCAGGCACATATATGTATTAACTAACATCTCAAGACTTGGACCAGCCCTTGTGCTAAGAGTTCTCTGAGACAGCTGTGGCAGCTTATGTTCTTCCTTCTCTAGAGTGACTTAAGGGGGAAAGAACTCCACCCTTCCTCACCTGTTGTTGTTATGTGCCATTGAGTCGCCTGCAACCCCATGTACAGCAGTTCTGAACCCTGCTCTATCCTGAGCCAACCTCACTATCTCTGACATATCTACCCCCATCACCCCAGTCACTGAGTCAATCCATATCATCGAGTGTCTTCCTGCCTTGAGCTGTCCCTCCACCCTTCCAAGTAGAATGTCCCTTTCCAAGGGCTGGTCCCTCCTTGCAACATGCCCAAAATATGTCAGAAAAAGCTTCAGAATCCTTGCCTCCAAGGAGCAGCCTGGTTTCACCCTCTCCAGAACAGACCTGTTGCTGTTGTTGTTGACTGCCTTCGAGTTGAGCACGACTCATAGCGACCCTATGAACAAAAGGCCTGAAGCCCCTCTACAACTATTGACATTTATCAAAGTTCATAGGGTTTCCACAGGCATGGTATTTAGGAAGTGGATGCCATTCCTGCTTCCAAAGGACAGACCCAGTCATCCAAAATCTACACACTGGCCTCATCTGAGTTTTTATCATGAAGGCAGCCTGAACTTTTTGAGCACGGAGTGCATCCAGAGTTGAGTTACCTGCTAACTGGGTGGCTTTGGGCAAGTGCCTCAGTTGACCTCTAGTGACATGGACATGAGAATGAGAATACTTTTTCAGGTAGCCTCCAACTTACCACATATTTGAGTTAGGAGGAAGTAGTAACTTTTTTGAGCCCTGGTGGTACCTTCTTTGTTGATATGCACTCAAACTTATCAACCTGGAGTGGGGAGAAATGAGAAGTTCCCCCCACAATGATTTACAGCTTCACAAGCCCAAAGAGGGAGCTCTGGTGGCCTAGTGGCAAGTAGCTGTGCTGTCAACCTGAAGGCACATAAACAGAATCCACCAGCTGCTCCACAGGAGAAAGAGGGGCAATCTCCTCCCATGTTGCCTCTGAAAACCTGCTGGAGGGTCAGCTATGAGTCAGTCCAACTGGATTGACAACAACCACAAGCCCAAAGGGGCAGGAGTAGACTGGATGGCAATAGGTTTGACCTAATGATAAGAGGCTGCCCTGCAATCCCAAAGGCATGCAGTTTGAATCATCCACCGGCTGTGAATCCACCAGCTAGCTTCTCTATAGGAGAAGGATGGGCAATCTCCTCCCGTATGATTTACTGTGTCTCAAAACCCACCAGAGGATCAGCTATGACTTGAAGGCGCTCAATAAATACCAAGGTAGGCAGTTCAAACCCACCAGTTGCTCAGGGGGAAAAAGATGGACAATCTCCTCTCATGCAATTTACAACTTCTGAGCCCCAGTGGAGGGTCAGCTATGGGTCGGTTCTGGCTGGAAGGCAATGAGTTTGGGGGTTGAGGTGGGTTGGGGATTTTTTTCAAATATGTACAACAGACAAGGCTGTAGGCTCCCAATCTCAGATGCTACCACACATTATTATTTGCAAACGTTCAATGTTATACTTTATAAAGATACGTATAATGAAAGGCAAAAATGACAGAGGAAATAAAGAGGCGTGACATCAGAATTAACCTAGGTCAGTGTCATCGGAATGAAACCCCACTGGGGACTGCCTATACTTTATAAATTTTGCTGTCTAGCTGTAACTGCATGGAAGCGCACAACAGCATCGGGCACAGAGTACTGTTCGTGGTTGTTCTCTTGAGCTTCTATTTCCCTACATGCAAGCACCTCACTATCACCCGAGGGCATCGGGGAACTGAGCCAACCTGGCAGGGCAGCCGCCCCCCTCACTGCCCGAGCCCGCCATCGCATCCCTCAGAGGATGGACTATTCCCAGGCTACTTCCATCCGCCCTTCCCAATGCAAAGTTCCCCTCACATGGGACCAGAGGTTTCAGCTCCATCCAGCCCTCCCTCCTGCACGGATCCCGCCCTCACAGGACCAAAGAATAAAGCCGTGTGTGCATAGAGCGCACTTGAGGAAAGGCGAGCAGTATACGTCCTGGAAAAGTTGAAAATCTGGGTTAGGCTCTGACGCTGGTGGCTGGCGCGGTCCCGCGTGCGCCTCGGTGTCCGCCCGCCGCCGCGAGGGGCACCCACCAGCCCTGCTGGAATCCCGGGAAGGCCAGGCCAAAGGGCCCGCAGCGGCCGCCAGGACCCGGCCAGACAGGGTGGACGCTGGCCGCTCCCTCCGTGCCCGCCACCCAGGCGAAGGCTGGAGGTGGCCACGTCGCGTGGCTGGACACGGCCGGCCGAGGGAGCGCTGCCAGCCCGCGCCCGCGCCCGCGCCCCAGGGACGGCCACGCCCTCCGTGCCGCTCCGGGACTCACCGCCTCAGCACCCACGGCTCACCCACGCTCGCCGCAACTGCCCAGGGCGCAGGCGCGGAGTGCACCGCGGACTACATCTCCCGGCAGACCCCGCGCCAGGCGCCGCTGCCACGTGGGTGTTGAGGGAGGTGGACTCGGGAAAATCCCAGGCCTCCAACCTGCGTGCTGCGGTTTCAGGCAAGGCTGGGAAAGGCCCCCGTTTCCGATCCCGGGGCCTCCGAGCCCCAGGGACGGGGCGGGACAGCCTGGGCCGCAGTCCAGCTGAGAACTCCTCCCCGTCAGCTGTGATGGAACTGCTTGAAATCCGTTATGTGGGTCTGTAAACCCCAGCCATCGCTCTGTGGGGAAACTTTTCCAGGAGGAGTTTATTAAAAAATCTCGATTTCCAGCCCCACTCTGACACTCGTGTCTCCTGTGGGCTCAAAAATACGCTTTCCTGGAAATTCTGACTCTGGTCTCCCCTAATTGATGAATTTTCTTCTTTGACCTAGTGACCTCGCCCACTTTTCTCTAAACTAATCTCCCCGACACCACGTCTCTTGGGCTCTGGGATCTGCCAGATGATCCTCCTCATGCATCCCGCCCCAAAAATACACACTCTTCCTTTCTTGATTGGCGAGGACGATGTCATTAGACCTTTCCCAAGCAAGCGCAGTTGGCCTGTGGGCGTCACACTGTTGTGATAAGAGTTACAACTTGAGGCCAAGACTGTCCTTGGGGAGAGATGGTGGTGAGGCCCTGTTTCTGGGAGGCCTTGGGGGAAGCAGAACAGGGAATGGTTGCTGCGGCCTTTAAGACAAAAGCCAGATGCTGCCTGGTTCCTTGCCAGGGACACGTGGCCCAGAGTCTCCAGCTCCTGTGATGTTGACCACCCTTGCACAGGGTCCAGATGTCTTT